TTGTTTATTTTGGGCTTGCAACCAACGAGAGTCTGGACTGATTGAAAGTATTCTTATTTACGTTTGTTTTTGGCTTTCGTTCCTAACTAGCATCGATTCTTGGATGGCAATGATACTGTAGCTAAATCCAAACACAATGACTTTTGGAACAAGACGTTAGGATATGTTCTCTTCAGATCATAAGTTACACTGTACTGCTTATGGCAGAATGACTACAACTGATTAGAAAAAGTTTCTGTGACATTATTATTTCGCCGTGATATAGTTTAACAATTCGTTCTGACAGTTAATTTTCAGAAATAATTTCAGCAATTAGTTCCAGCAAACAGTTTAAAAAGCATATTTTGAGCAGTTAGCTTCAGCATTTGTTCTAGATGCACCTAAATCATGGGTCAGCAACCTACGGCTCTGGAGCCGCATGTGGCTGTTTCATCCCTCTGCTGCAGCTCCTTGTTGCCGGTTGGCTCCACCATTGATAGGGCTTTTGGTTAGGACAGCTACAGGAAAAAGGATACAAAAACACATTCCAAACAGTCACACTTTTTGAGTTTGCTGCATCTCGGCAGCTGTTCCTGGAATCACTATACAATAATGGGATCAGCATGGACACAGGGGTATTAATTTTGTCTTCCCTCAATACCACATAGACACTATTGTGTGTTTTACTCAGTTTAGTAAGAAGAAAGAAATCTATTCTTTCTAATGGCTGGAAAGCTACATAGTGGTAACCCATAATGTGGTTTGTTTGAGTTAGAGATATGTAAACTTCTGTTGTGCTGCACAAACTATGGCTTATTGCAGAAGTAAGTAATTCATGCCCCCCCCATCATTTTCAAGTCTCTTCTGACTGTAAATATTAAAAATTAGCATCTTGACTTCCTGTCATTTCAAGGGTGGAAATATATAAATTCTCTTTTTGTGATCAACTTATGCACAATTTAATGTGTGAAATTAATAGTCTGAATTCTAACAATATATCAAACAATAAACGTCTAGAATAGACAACAATTCTTAAAAAAATATCTCTAGGTTTTCTTTCACAAATAATNTTGAGTGTTTAGAGTTGCCGACCCCTGAACTAAATAATCCATTTCAAAACTTAAAGACAATAAATATAGAGTCAGTAGAATTTCTTGGTTAACTCTTCTGCAGAAAAAGACCCACATAGACATATTGATATGCAAATTGTTGAATGGAATGGTGACAAGACTATATGGGATAAATATCAAGAAAGTATTAGGTAAAAATGGGTACAATTTGAAGAACTTAAAGAGTTTGTAGTTTTGAAAATGTGAAAGTTTTCCAGGGCATTTTACACACTTAAAAAAAATCTTTTTTAGCAAAAAAAACCAACCCCATTTCACACAGTCACTGTTGTTGGGTCTACTGCATGCCTGCAACTGTTCTTGGAATGACCATGCAATGATGGGATCAGCATGAACACAGGATTAATAATGTTGGCTTCCCTCAATACCACATAGACAATATTGTGTGTTTTACTCAATGTAGTAAAAAGAAAGCGATCTATTTTTTCTAATGGCTGAAAAGCTACATAGTGGTAACCCATAATATGGTTTGTTTGAGTTAGTAATATGTAAACCTCTGTTGTGCTGCACAAACTATGGCTTATTGCAGAAGTATGTAATTTATGCTCCCCTCCGCATCATTCACAAGTCTCTTCTGACTGTAAATATTAAAAATTAGCATCTTGACTTCCTGTCATTTCCAGGTGGAAATATATAAAATCTCTTTGTGTGGTCACATTATGCACAATTTAATGAGTGAAATTAATAGTCTGAATTCTAACAATATACCAAACAATAAACATCTAAAATAGACAACACTTCTTAAAAATATCTCTAGGTTCTCTTTAGCTAATAATGGCTTTTCATCATCATCATCGTCATCATCATCATCATCATCATCATCATCATCATCATCATCATCATCATCATCATCATCATCATCATCATCACCGTCATGACTACGATGCTCAATATGGGGCTTGTCAACTCCCATCCTGGTGTTAAGTGTGGCCCATGGGTACTGAAAGTCTTGTTTTTATAGTTTTTATAGTTCAGCATCTTTAATAAACATAATAGAATTAAGCATCAGCTAAGAATTCAGTGGACTAGAGCAAAATGCTAATAAACTAGAACATATTTTCAGAGAACAGTGACAAGCAGTTTTTTGTTTCATGTCCCTGCCCCTATTTCCATCCCACCTACAAACAGTTGTTCCATTTAAAATCTTTCCAATTCTCGCAGTAGGAAAATTAACTGCAGGAAGACAGTAAGTAAAGCTACAGAGAGCAGTCAACGGAGACCAGGGAGATTAAGTCAGCATTAGATACATCTAGTTGTTTGGAAGAGTAGAAATATGGGTGGTTTAGTGGAATATGGATACCTTTTTCCTGCTCTAAATATTAGTGTGAACATAAAAGTGAGACATGCCTTTCGCATTTGAGAAGGAGGGACAGACTGAGAAGTTAAAGCAAAGAATAAGACAAGGCTAGCGAATCTATGGAGTGTGAAAAATAGAAAAGCTAAAGAGTAAGAAAGGAAAAAAAACCATTAAGGTGTACCTTAATGCGTGTGAGTCTTTTGATGTGTGTGCCAATTTGGAATGTTGAAAATGTTTAATGGGCACACTTGCTAAGTGGCTGGGTTGACAATCTCCCCTACGTACAAAGTGATGGCCTTGTGGGCAAGATGACCCAATACATGCATCAGAAAGCAAAGTGACCTTCTAGAATTTCTAGGCTTTTTCATAGAATCCAAAAGCAGGATTTCCTCAATGAAAGGGACCAGGCAAATTACTTACTTATTTATTTTTACTCCTTGGGATGGTGATGAAAAGCCACAAAACAAAAGAATTGAAAAGCATGATTTCATGAGGGTGGTATTGTGGATAGTTTATGATTGATTTCTGGTTTCTGAATGCTACAATTTCTGAAGAGTTTTCTGTTTCAAGAAGCAGAATGGTTTCCATGGATCTCTCAGCCTGCTCCGCCCTTCTCTTGACTATCTCCTGCTGCCTGTGGAATACTGAAGCCCGAAATTATTCTTCTGTGCTCAGGGTGTCAAATGGGGGTTCCTATGGTGAATGGGGACCAATTTCATTTTGCACTTCTGGCTATGCTACTGGCTTCACCCTGAAGGTAAACATTTACTTTTCTGATGCTCCTTCATGTCTAAATATTCTGAAATTGCTTATCTTTCAAGTAAGGCAATCAAGAAGTAATTGTGTTGATGCTTTGCACTTTTGATTCTACAACTAAAAAATTGAATTGAGTTTGGATATTGAGTTTGAATATTGTGTGGCAGATCTAATCTTGATCCAATTCATTTTCCAATATTTATGAGTAAGAGAATTGAAATCTGAAGGACAGCGAGTGGAGAAAGGGTGATCTAGAACTTTACCAAGGTCATATTTTCTTAGGTGGACAAAGACAAATGGACACTTGACAATACAGGTCTGAATGGCATCCGCTTGTACTGTGACGATGGTGTAGTAATTGAGTCTAGAGTTGGACCATGAGTAACTGATTTTCTTACCATATTTCATTTCCTTGTCATGAAGATTGGGAGAGGAGATGACTTTTCTGAAAAAGCTGCTGATGCTGAGACGTGGATGAGAGATTTTTGTATTCCTGAGTTGTGCAATGGTGTAACTAATAGTTTGTGAGCCATAGTAAGTGTATCTCAGGGACGTGCAGTCACTAGAGGCAAGGGAGGCAGGACCTCACCAGTCTCCTCAGGGAAAGGAAAGGATTTTAAATAATTTTCTTAAAATAATTAAAGCCAGGGTAGTTGCTACCAGATTTCAAGTCACAGTGGCTTGGTGTCTGCTCTCAGTATTAACTAGGAGGAGGCCAGAGAACTAGGGGCCTCTTTTGCATAAGGAAGTTTTTGCCTTTTAAGAGTTAAG